ATGTGCATAAACGCAACCGCATCTTTGTTCCAATCCACACACACACATACATGTATATTCGTGGCAAAGGGTCGCGCGCGTCACTTGGAGTCGTAGGGGTTGTAAATAAAAGAGTAGCGATCGTCGGGAGCGGTGCACCTTGCCCGCACGCCCGAGCCACTGGGCGTGACAATATGCTCCTGCACAGGTGTACGGGCAAAGGTAGAGGTCCGCGGATAGGCGCCTCGGGGAAGAGGAGCGAGAAGTGCTCTCGCCGCCCACGCGATCGCTCCGTTCTCCCTGTTCCCCGAACCAGAAAGAGAGAGAGAGAGAGAGGAGGAGCTGGCTCGTTCGAGAAGAAGCGAGACGCGGAATTCTTAACGCGAAGGGGAAGGGAAGAAAAGAGAAGAAAAGGAAAGGAAGAGGAGACCTCCTGTGGAAAGGAGTCGACGAGGAGGATACACATAGAGAGAGAGAGAGAGAGAGAGAGAGTGGCGTGTGCAGAGAAGGAAGAGAAAGGTCGAAAGGTGTAGCCGCTGGGAAGGTGGTGTGCGCGCTTTCGAGTACCTACGTGGCCGCACACCTGTGCCAATGCAGCATGGCACAGGAGAGTCGCATAACAGGTGGAAAAGGTGAGAGAGAGAGGGAGGAAGGGAGGGAGAGAGAGAGAGAGAGAGAGCAAGAGAGGGGAACAGAGGAGAGGGAGATCCCCACTCGACCCCGAGTCTGCCAACTCGAACATTACTATACGCCCTCCGGGACCCGAGAGGAGGAGAACGCTCAGACTACCGCCTTCCTCCTACGTTCTCTCTCTCTCCTACGCCCCTCTCCCTCTCTCTCCTTGGCATCTCATTCTTTCCTACTAGCGTGCACTCGTTTCGTACCATCCCCGTCCCCTTCCCTCCTCCAGCTTCGACCCAACGCCACCTCCTCTCCTCCACCTTTCCTTCACGGTCGCACTTCCGTTTTAACGTCGGCCAACTCTCGAGGCGGGCGGCTGCCGCGCAAACGCCGCCGACAAACGCCGCCGTTTTCACTCGGTGCCGATGAAATGGCCGACGAGAAAACGTTCTCCACCCTTGCGAGAGGCGCCGCGACACCGACGCCGAGCGGAGGATCGGAGCGAGCGTGGCGACATCTCTCTGACTCGTCCTGGTTTCCGGCCAACAGGCGATCCTCGATCTTTCGCCCCCGTCTCGTCGAGCTTCTTTTCATAATTATTCTGGATTTATTGAGAAACAAAGTAGATTTGTTCGAGGGAGAAATTTTTACCGATGCTTGTTTAGAGAGAGGGGGAAAGAAAAAATTGGATAATGGACGGAGTTATTATATAATTATTAATTATACATAATTATTCCTTCTCTTTCGTTTCTTTCTTTTTTTTTTTCTTTACCAAATTCGCGAAAAGCAGAGGAAAGAGAAATATACGTTCGAGGAAGCGCACGCGTTCATCGCGTTAAACCGATCTAAGAATCGATCCCCCCCGCTGATTACACGGCCGAGAAGAAATTCAACGGAACCGGTAAGAAGAATGAAAGCCGAGGGAGAATCCAATCTACTCGCGATCGATTCGCCGGATGGGCGTCATTAACGTCATCAACGAGTAACGAAGAAGCCTTATCATCTCTCTCCCCTCCTCCCCCTCCCCCAGCCACAACCGTCAATTGAAAATCTATCATCGACCCCCGGTATCACTGCCCATCAACCCAACTCTCCCGACACGCTTCCAGCTACCAGGTGATCCCACGAGGCCGGTCCAGGTAGTGGTGGGGACCACACCACACCACGCCACGCCAGAGCGAGCGTGTTTGCTTAAAAGCGTGTTCATCATCCCGCCTCGGGGTGAATTTAGCGGGGCGAAGAGGGGAGGGAGGGAGGGCGTGCGTGCGTGTGCAACACGTAAATGACTGGCATAATAACGGTAATACCGTCCGGGTATTATCTGCACGCGCTCGCATTTTTGCGGGCAGACAGGTTTCTCGCCGAGCTCTCTGTTCCCGCGAGCTGTTATCTCCCTCTTCCACGCGATGACCCACGGTTTTTCGGGTCGCGCAATCTGTAGTAGTCATCGTCGATGCATCGTAGATAGGATGATAGCGTCGATCGAATCGAGCATTGTCCTCGAGAATTTCATGTTCACCTCGAGGTTGCCATCGGATGACTATGCGAGATCGTGCGACGCTGTTCTCCGAGATTGGATGAATAACGAATTCTGGGCTATGATTGGCGAGGGGAACGTGGGTATGTGTCAGTTATATGACGATTTTAAAAATTAACTTTATCGTAGATACGTACGGATATGATTACAGCGTTCTTTGAGTTGTTGCAACGATACTTACGAGAGTTCGTGAGTTAGAGATTTTATTCCAATGTAAAATAATGAAAAATAACGTGCATTATCGAAGAATAATATAAATACATTAGCATGATTGGCGATTATTCTATTCCGATACGATCTTATTCTGATTTACTTATGCACGTTATTTTTCAACTTCTTTTATTAAAATAAAAAAAAAAAAAGAAGTTAAAGTTGAAGTGATCAATCGATTACGCGTCAGATCGTTACGTCTGCATTATTTCTTTTACGCTTGAAGAAATTTTTTTTCATTGAAGTTGCATGCTCATTTTATTTTACACATTAAAGAGAAACGAAAATTATCTAGGTTTATTTGCGTAATATAATGTATATTCCTTTTTTTTTTTTTTTTTAAATAAATATTCTGGGCAACGTGTAAAAGGGGGAAAATTTCATTCGAAGTATCTCGGATATAATATCCTGCAACTTTCACGCGAACGATTCTCTAAAGATATTGGAAATAAATGAATACGAGTGATATCTCTTGGAAAAGAAATCGTAAAGAAAATTTTCGATCCGTCTCCTCCATTTCCCCAAATTTTATTATATTTATCACGAAGGTAATAAATAAATCCCGGCGTTAGCACCGGGTAATTAACCAAAACAACGATCGATACACCACCTATTCATTATGGTGGAACAAAATTCTTTCCATTTTTTTCCTTTTTCAAATTCAATTTTGCTGGCAGCGATTTCACTCCCGATATCGCATTAGTCTATATATAATTACTGATTAAACCCAGCCCAACTGCACGCGAATCGTTGTTAAAAATATCCCCACCGATTCTTATCGGTTCGTTTCTTTCGTTAGTGGTTCACTGAAACGTGTCCATCCTTCCACGTCGCGCGAGACTAATAATCCCGTTTAGCGAAACAGTAAGAGAATATAATTAAATTTAATTACACGATCGCTTTCTAAGATTTAATTGGACCAACTTGTAACGCAACTTGTATATTTGTTTAACCTCGCAACAGGGTAGAAACGAGTCAGTGACTTTTTTCCTTTTTTCTTTTTTCTTTTTTTTTTAGATGTGTAAAGCAAGGTATATTATTAGACGAGGTACATTCATTTGTAACTATCATGTTTGTTCCGTTACGTTAATCACGAATTTTTTCTTACTCCGATGAATTATAATTTTTATTCTCTTCTAAAATTCGTACCATTCAATTCGATAAAAAAAAGTTTTCAATCCCAAATAAAATCTTGTCGCGGGATATTGGACAACTATGATAAAAAAAATAAAAAAAAAAAAATAAGATACGTGATATCTTTTTCGATCCTATTCCGTAATATTTATTACGGAAACGATTCATCGAGATGAAATTTTAATAAATCGCGACATCTCTGACCGTGGCCAGAACGTGCGCATCCATTACAAACATTGACAAACGTTGACTTCTATTACCGCGATAATATCAAAGAACACGATTCACTTTATCGCCTCAATAATTCCCGCAGCACGCCCTCGTATCGAGCATTTCGATCATACGCTATAAGTTTCATCGCATTTCGATATGTCCTCGACCATGTGGCGACCAACCAATTCGAAACGTATCCGCGCTTATCGTCATCGCGCAACAACAACATTTCTCATTCGTGCTCGTCGAAACGACTACCGATTTATTCCATTTAACCTTCTCCTCCCCAATAACTTGTCCTCTATTATTTTTTTCTACACGAACGCGTTCTCAACGCGGCTGCCCTCGTCAACGACTCTCACGATTTTCATCGATAAACACGGCCACTCGGTTTATGCTAATTAAATAGGCCGCGTTAGCAGCGCGCCACGATCGAGCCCGGGCGAAACGTTTAGATTGATCAGCAACGGATTAACGGGTCCCGCGAGAAATAAATGTCACCGTGTAACACGATGGCGAGTTAGTTGGATCGTGGAACGGCTTAATAGTACGAGACAAATTATCGGCTATTGATAGCCAGATTTCCGATTCTCCGCAAATTCTGCCAATATGTAAATTTAGAGGGATCCCTCTCTCTCTCCCCTTTCTTCGCCCGATCGATAAATCTCGCGTAAGAGAGTTAGGCGAGCATCGTTAACCAATCACGGGTGTCGTTTTCAATTTTGTATCGTGTGATTGCCAAACGGTGTGTCTCAGACAATCAATTTCTCTGCTGGCCTCGATTATAAGACGAAAATAATCCCAGACCGTGGCGGTTAGTTACGCCGAGATCCATGACCCGCGTAAAATCGATCCGTTCGAAACAGGTACGCGCTCGCGATTCAGGTAAGCGAGCAGTGTCTCGTGTCTTCGACATTCGAGGAGAATATATATATATATATATACGCAATGGTTCGATGAGTGGTCGGGATTAGTTTCGTTTTGGAATGCACGAAATTGGGAAGAAGCCGTTATCTTATATATTACAATTGCAAAAAATATCCAAAAAATAATGAAGAATTGAATTAAACTAAGTAATAATCTTTACCACAATTTTACTCTTCCCTTAAATTCAATTTCTATAAACTGTCACACGATCATCTTGGCAAGTCTGTAAACAAAACCGAATAACTAACTACCCTCCCCTTAATAAAGACTCGGCAAAAGCATTCGTTATACACTCCTTGCATCTCTTCTTCTTACTCGTCCCTTCTTATCCGCCTCTAAACGAGCCAAATTCGAAAGAATAAAAATAAAAATCTCCTACCTTCGACTGATCTTGCTGTTGCAGCAATTGTTCCCTGAGCAGCTGCAGCTGCAGGATCATCTCGGACAGCCTCCGCTCCTTCTCCGCGAAGCTCTCCGCGCAGAAGACCCTGTGCAAGGCCGACGCGCCATCCTGCTGCACTTGTCCATCCGTGTTCTGCATCCTGCCAGATGCCGGGGGCGAGGGTGGCACGCTGTTCGCCACGCTGGCGACGCCTCCACTGCAACGCACACCATCACAGACCACGGTCAATTACGCTTTATTCGTTACACGCGTAGCAAGGGAGCCACGTTTCTCTTCTTCCCTCTCCTCCTCCTTTCCCTCTCAACAGAGAGAGAGAGAGAGAGAGAAACGGAAAAGGAGAGAGAAGAAACATAGACCGAAGACAAGGAGGGAGAATGGAAACGAGATGGGTAGAGAGAAAGAGGGAGAAATAGGAGGCGAGCGGATCGACCACGTACGATGGCTATTCGCGTGCGAGCAAGAGTTTCCAGTGGCTCCAGCCTCTGGAATGGGATAGTGGTCCGCGTACATAGGGCCGGGAGCCAGGTGAATAATAGATAGGGTCGCGGCCGCGCAATCACGGTAGCCCGAGTGTTTGCCGCCGTGATGGGGTGCTCTTCTCCTTCCCCTTCTCCAGCCAACCCCTCTCTTCTCTCTCTCTCTCTCTCTCTGTTTCCACCTCGTCCCTGTTCGCGCACCGGTTTCTTCCCTTTCCCCGAAAACTGCCCTCCTCGTCTACGCCCGGAGCTCTCGTTCCATTCCTCTTTTATACCGGGGAAAATGGACCACGAATAAGTGATACCGGACCCATTGTGCGCACAACCCGGTGGTGGAGCGATGGGCTCGAGAATACATCCGAGATGTGAAGTGAAGGACATCGCGAAAACGAGAGGATAAGGACGAGAGAGAGAGAGAGAGAGAGAGAGAGAGAGAGAGAGAGTA